TTCCTAGCACCAGGTACTCCTCCGGTAGACCCCCTCCCCCCTCAGGGTCGTGCCCTCTCAGGTGTGTCCCAGGTAGACCGTGCTGAGCCGGTCGAGGTAGCTGTCGACTCACGTGCTGCTAGGGGTGCTGAGCCTACGGGTGCGGGGACTGGGGGTGCTGAGCCTGGGGTTTCTGTGTCTGAGGGTGTGGAGCCTGGGGGTACTGAGCCTGAGCGTGTGGAGCCTGGGGGTGCTGAGCCTGGGGGTGCTGAGTCTGAGAGTGCTGAGCCTGGGGGTGCTGAGCCTGCGCGTGCTGCGTCTGGAGGTCCTCCGGGTGTCCCGTCGCGGCGGGAGCCCCTCTCTCCGCAGCAGCTTCATGAGTGGTACGCTCGGCGCTGTCGAGGTGCTGCTGGTGCTGGAGGTGCTGCTGGAGCTGCTGGAGGTGCTGCTGGTGCTGGAGTTACTGGAGGTGCTGCTGGAGGTACTGGTGCTGTTGGAGGTCCTGCTGGTGTTGGAGCTGCTGGAGGTGCTGGAGCAGCTGGTCCTGGAGGTGCTCATACTGGAGGTACAGGAGCTGCTGGGGCTGGTGGTGCTGCAGGAGTTGGAGCTGCAGGTGCTGGAGCTGTTGCTACTAGAGGTGCTTCTGGAGCTGGAGCTGCTGGAGGTACTGGAGGTGATGGTGCTGCGGGAGTTGTAGCTGGCGACCCTGGAGCTGAGGGTATTGGTGCTGTCTCTGCTATTTCTGGAGGCGCTGCGCGGCCGCGGCCGTACTACATTCCGCTCCTTCAGCAGGTTCTTGGTCTCCCGCCTTCTCCTGGTCCTACTCCTCCTTTACTGAGACCACCGCCTATCCAGTCGCAGTCGCAGTTACAGCCGACCTCTCCACTGCCTGGTCCTTCTCCTTACTCTGGACCGACTAGAGGTCTTACGGAGCGTCGTGAGCCTGAGTCGCGTCCTGTGTCGCCTGAGTCTCGTCCTGCGTCACCTGAGTCTCGTTCTGCGTTGCCTGTCCGCACTGTTCGCGCTGGTCGTCGTGTTTCGCGTCCTCGTCCTCCTCCTGTCCCTGGCACTCACTCTATGACACTGCGTCTTTCCACTTCTCCACAGTGTGTCCCTCTGCCGTCTCCTCCTGCGTCCTCTCTTCCTCTCGGTCCGGACCCGGAGTCTGACTCCCTTCGTGCTGCTACTCCTACTGTCACGCGTCTCCTGGCCACTGTTGTCACTGACCCTTTTTTTTTAGTCCACTGCTGCGTCTGCCTTAGTTGCTGAGCTTGTTGACTTTGCTGCTCACTGTCGTCTAGACTACGCCGCTAGTCTTGTTGCTGAGTCTGCGTCTCTCTATCCTCCGTCCGTCAGGGGTGAGTGTGCTCTTGGCACGGACATTCTTGAGGACAGACAGGAGGAGTTTGAGTGCTTTGCCACTACTGTACCTCATCTCGTGTCCATGCTGCTTGCCCCTGAGGGAGACCCGGATGCACTAGACATCCCGACCCCGCGCTCTTACGCAGAGGCGATAGAGGGTCCCTACTCCTCTCAGTGGCAGGCAGCCATGGACGCCGAGATGGCTTCCTGGAAGTCCACAGGCACCTACGTCGACGAGGTTCCCCCGCCTGGGGCGAACATCATCAGTGGCATGTGGATCTTCAGGGTGAAGCAGCCGCCAGGTTCTCCACCTGTCTTCAAGGCACGTTACGTTGCACGTGGCTTCAGTCAGCGACAGGGAGTTGACTTCTTCCAGACCTTCTCCCCTACCCCAAAGATGACCAATCTTCGGGTACTGCTGCACGTCGCCGCTCACCGTGACTACGAGCTCCACTCGCTTGACTTCAGCACAGCCTTCCTACAGGGCAGCCTGCACGAGGAGATCTGGCTGCGCCGCCCACCTGGCTTCACTGGGTCTTTTCCTGCTGGTACCCAGTGGAGCCTCCGGCAGCCAATCTACGGTCTCCGCCAGGCACCCCGTGAGTGGCACGACATACCAAGGACGACTCTTGCTGCTCTTGGTTTTGCTCCTTCCACTACTGACCCGTCGTTGTTTTTACACACCGACACCACTCTGCCGCCGTTCTACGTTCTCGTGTACGTAGACGACCTCGTCTTTGCTACTGCTGACACTGAGGCACTCGCCCACGTGAAGTCCGAGCTGCAGAAGAGACACACGTGCACAGACCTGGGTGAGCTGACAAGCTATCTTGGCTTGCGGATCACCCGAGATAGAGCACAGCGCACCATTACCTTGACTCAGTCACACATGGTGCAGCAGGTCCTTCAGCGCTTCGACTTAACGTACTCCTCGCCACAGTCCACTCCTCTGCCTACCGGTCACTCGCTCTCAGCTCCACCTTCGGACGAGTCCGTAGAGCCGAGTGGCCCGTATCCAGAGCTTGTGGGCTGCCTCATGTACCTGATGACTTGCACACGACCTGACCTCGCGTACCCTCTCAGCCTTCTGGCTCGCTACGTGGCTCCCGGTAGGCACCGAATGGTGCACTGGGATGCTGCGAAGAGGGTGTTGCGCTACTTGTGCAGTACGTCGGGCATGGGGCTCGTGCTTGGAGGACGGGCTCGAGTTGTCCTCAATGGTCACGCAGACGCTTCGTGGGTTGACGACTTGGCTACGCAGCGGTCGTCACAGGGTTACACCTTCAGCCTTGGCTCCGGTTCTGTCTCTTGGCGGTCTACCCGCTCGTCTTCTGTTCTCAGCTCCAGTTGCGAGGCTGAGATCTACGCTGGGGCCATGGCTGCACAGGAGTTACGCTGGCTCACCTACCTGCTGACCGACTTGGGAGAGGCGCCTCGTTCTCCTCCAGTTCTGTACGTCGACAACAAGGCCATGCTGGCCTTGTGTCAGGAGCACAGACTGGAGCACGGAATGAAGCGCATTGCTCTGCGCTACTTCCTTGCTCGAGAGTTGCAGCAGCGTGGCCAGCTTCGTCTTGCTTACGTGGCCTCACATGCCAGCACTGCTGATGTTTTCACCAAGGCACTTCAGCCTTGTGATCATCAGCGTTTCTGTACTGTCCTAGGCCTTGTACCTACTGTGCCTCACTTGCTTACTTCTTGACTCTGCTTGTACTGTACTCTATATACATATACCTACATGCTTACACTTGCTAGGTTGTGTTCACTGTATTGTTTGTTCTCCTTTATATAACTCTGCATGTGAACTGGCCTTGTGGCCATTTGCTTGTGCTCAGACTGCGTGGTGACTTTGTGATCCACCCTGAGCTTGCTTTGCCTTTCTTGACTGGTCTTGTGACCTCTTGTTCTCCCCCACTTTGCCTATGAGGGTGTGTCAAACATATATGCTATAGTCTATCTAGGCTGTAGTGGGGTAGTTTTTATAGGGTACAACACTTTTAGGTTTCCCACTTGTACCCACCTGCTTGCTAGTTCAGTCACTCATTCGGTCAATATTCTAACAGCTCCCTCTCCCAACGCCTCTCTTCCCTTACTGTGGCACCTCCCCGTGAAAGGTGGTTTACGGAGGGCAAGGCCACGGCAATAAGATTTGTCTGAGAAGGAAGGCGGGGAGGGAAAATGGGTGGCTTTCTAGGAGTGCATTTCCGTGAGGGTAAACGGCTGTTCTATCGCGATCTCTATTCTCAGAGGGAAAATGGGAGGCTCGGCACGATTTTCCGGGCTGACCACCCTTTCGGACCAAAAAACGCAGTGGGAGGAAGCTACCTATTTCCCCTCCCCTGCCCTCCGTGGTGCCTGCAGAACAATGTAATGATGGTGGTGTTCTCCAGGCAGGTGGCATCGGCATGGCAGCGGCATCAGCATCATTTCGCAAGAAACTTCCACTGGCGGCGAGACCATCCCACCTAAATGGGAAATTTCGCACTTCGGCTTAAGAAGGCGGGGGCCCGAGAAGTAAGACTTCAGCACAAGTTGTACCCTGTTTTGTGCCGTGCAAGAAACAAATTTCTGAAGCCAGCTGGGCTACGTCGGGTAAAAAGTGTCCTGAAAGCGAAAATTTAGCGCAAATGACATTTAGGGTTTCAAGTTGGCTATTGGGTTACTACAAGGGCGCCTGTAGTTGCTTTTTCCTTTCCAACGGGGTTTGTTTCTGGTTTTCCCAGATGGCCGATCGCGCTGCCATCTCGTGGCGATTCACCTTTCTTGGGTGAATCGCGACGAGGTAGCACGGGCACCACAATTTGCCAGAGCAGGAAACTGTGCGGCAACTTCATTTCCGTTTGATGTCGTCGCTAACTGACCCGTTCTGCAGCCAAAGCCATGCCGTTTTGGTTCGGACGGCATCGTCAGGTTAGACACGATTTTTTGGGCTGCCCCCTAAAAAGTCAACGCTTTGGCAGCATCGCGGCACATTCCCCCGACGGCATCGAGTGCATGGAGAAAAGCGCCGATGCTCATATAATGCACGCGAACGCTTTCCCCATTCAAATTGCTTCTCCCTTTGGCAATTCAGCACGATCAGTTGCACGCAGAGTACAAGTTCTTTGTTTGATCGCAGCCCTTCATCACACAGCTTATCGCGCTCTCATTTGTCCCTTAGTGAGATATTTTGAAATGTTACCAACAAACCCAATTCAGTCCCATTTTTTTTCCGTGGCGAATCTGGCGAGTAAGGCGAAAGCATGTGCTGCTTCACACCCAATAAGGCAATGGTTGCGTGCGTCCAATGAGCTTCAGGTCCCACGATCTCTGTGGCGAAACATTTCTCACCAGTTACTTTGTTTTCGCATGTCCCATTGCCAGCTAGCCTCACCCACTTCAGAGTCGGACTTGTGTGTTGCTTCCCCTCCCCAGTCTTCAGGAGCTCCAGCACTTGGGGAATGCGGTGGGACGAACTGAGCGAAGAAATGAGGCGGCCATTCATGGCTAAAGAAAGCGAGGGCACGCAGAAAAGTGAAAAGCGAGCCAATTGAAAAGCGAGGGCAGTTCAAAAGAATAGAATTCGGAATAGACTCATGCGGGCTCAAATTGCTCTCGACCGGAGCGTCGTTCTGCGTCGATAACGTTGATTCCCGAACCAATTCTCCAGATTCCAACGGATGGGTTTCGCCGGAGTCGCGTTTCAGTCGCGCGCGGCGGCGGTGGCGGAGCTGCAGCACTGCCCGCAGTTCCACGACGCCATTCTGGCGCTCCCCGACGCCGCCATGTTCTCCGCGCCCGCGTGCCTGCTGTACGCGCGCAGCAAGTGGTTCCGCCGCGCGTGGGAGGACGCGCCGGGGAGCGGCTTCGGGAAATGCGTGGAGATCACGATTCCGCCTGTACCCGGGGGGACGGAGGCGTTTGAGAGCATTCTACAGTACTGTTACGGGCTGCCTGTTAACGCGGATGCTACTAACGCGTTGCAGCTGCTGTGCTGCGCAGCGTTCTTCGAGATGTGCGAGGGGAGCGAGGAGGATTCGTTGCAGCGACAGGCGTGGAGGTACATTAACGAGTATGTTCTTAACGAGTGGGAGGACAGCCTGCGGCTGCTGGAGACAGTAGCGAGGGACGAGCTTGTAATGAGGGAGGCTCTGAAGCTCGACCTCCCGCTGCACGCGTCAGCATGTGTGGCAGGCACGTGCGCCATCCCATCCACCCACACCCGCCCGCCTGTTCACTCTATTCGTTTCCCCCACCACCCCTCTCGCCCTCCCCTTCCCGCCTCTCCCCCCCTCTCCCGCCCCCTTCCCCCCCCTCCCCTCCCCTCCCCCTTCCTCCTCGTCGGCTGTGCTTTACCCCCTTCATCTTTTCATGCAGTGAGCGCCCTTCCTACGCTCCGCAACCACCCCCTGCTCGCTCTGATCGCCTGCTTGCCACTCCATCACCACGTGATACCTGTCCCCTCGCACACTCGTGCTTATGTTAATGTTTCCCCTACACCACCCCTGCACCACCCCTACACCCCCCCCGCACCACCCCTACACCACCCCCGCACCACCCCTGCACCACCCCACCACACCACTCACCCACGAGCAGACCATCTGAGCGCCATGCTGTCGGGCCCGTTCGACAGCCCCACGCGCACGGCGGCGCTGCACCACCTCCTGGCGCGCCTGGCCGCCCTGCCCGCCCCCGTGCTGTCATGCGTGCTGCAGGCGTGCCGGCAGGCCAGTGTGAGCTTCGTGCGCATCGGCAACTACCTCGCCGCCCACTCCCACTCCTGCCTCTTCCAACACATCCCCTCCCTCGCTGCCCTTGCCAGCGCTGCTGCCGCTGCTGCTGCTGGTGGGGATGGCGATGTTGCAACAGAAAAAGAGGCAGCAGCAGCAGGAGCTGCAGGGGCAGGGGCAGGGGCAGGAGGTGGGGAAGCAGCTTCGTCCGTTGGGCTTTCAAGCAGCGACGGTGCAGAGAGGAGGGTGGCGAGCGGAGGGGGAGGGGGATACAAGGTGGTGTGTGGGGAGGAGGCGGCAGAGGAGGCGGAGGAGAGGGAGGAGGTGGGGCGGGCGATGCTGTTTGAGTATGCGTGCAGTGAGGCGCTGGAACACGCTGCAGCGATGCAGGCGCTGCACCACCGGCCGCCAGCAGCAGCAGGGGCGGGAGGAGGAGGCATGGACGCAGAAAGCAGGGGATCAGCGGCAGCACTGCAGCAGCAGGCGTTGAGGCGGCAGCAGCAGGGGGGGTTAAGGTCCAGCACGCGCTACATGCCATCAGTGCAGTACCTGATCGTGCTGCTCAAGCACTGCGTCACTCTACAGGAAGGACACACAGTCACGGATGCACACGGGCATGAACAGGGCGGTCAAGTGGGCGGTGTTGGTAAGACGCGAAGCTCAGCCTCGTTAGAAGTGTACTCGTTACAAGGAAAGGAAGGGCCAAGACATCCGGTGAACAGCAAAGGGGTTCAAAGGGCATCGTCGGTGCAGCGTGTGGGAGCCAGGGGCGTGAGGGGGGGTGCAGGCGCTGGGAGCACGGGGCTGAGGGAAACCAAGAGCGACAGCGACGTGGCCTCCAGTGAGCGGGCGGGTGCGGGCAGGAAGGGCGAGGCCATGGGGGAGGGCGTGCGGGCGGGCGTGGGGCGGCGCAAGGAGCTGCTCTTCACACGCCTGGCGCACCGCCTCACCGCCATGCCCACCGCGCTGTCCCTGGCGGACCTCGTCTTCCTCGGCCCCGCCACCAGCCTGCTGCTCCTCCACTCCCTCCGCGATGCCTCCGTCTCCCATGCCGTGCACCCCTCCATCCCACCCCTGGCCCCCCATGCTGGAGGGGCCCTGCCGCCACTTCCATCGCACCCACCACCAGCGTCCACAGGCACTAGCACTAGCATCACCAGCAGCAGCAGCAGCAGCGGGCGGCGTGTGGCGGTGCGGGTGGTGGGGTCACCAGCAGCAGCGCTGGGTGGCGATCTCGTGTGCGACTACGTGCACTACCTCGCAGCGCGCATGACGCACCAATCACAGCACCACACGTGGCTGCCCTTCCTGCGCCTGTGCCCCGCGTGGCCCGGCCTGTCGAGCTTCCTCATCGACCTCATAGCGCTGCTGAACCTGCTCTTCCCTTACGCCCGCCACCTGCCCCCCGTGCCCGAGCTCTGGAGCATGGTGGACGTCAGCGCGCTTTCTGATGAGAAGCTCGCCCTCGCCGGGAAGATGTGCTGCGAGGGGGAGGGTCAGGGCGGAGATGCGGGAGGGGATGGGGGAGAGAGGGGTGGCGGGTGGGGAGGGGGTTGGGGTGGGAGAGGGAGGGAGCAGGGGAGGGGATGGTGGAGTGAGGGGAGGGTGTTGGCGCAGCAGGTGGAGAGGGAGCAGAGGGCGAGGGGTGTGAGGGCTGAGGGGGAGAGGGGAAAAGAAGGGGGGATGCGGGGGGAGGTGGAGAAAGAACGGCGGGGGCGGCAGGAGAGGGCGCTGCAGCAGGCGGCGTTAGAGGTGGAGAGTGTGCGCGCCGCCAGCACCCGCCTCGCACTGGAGACCGCACAGGTGAGCGCCGGTGGTGGTGTGGCAGCAGGAGGAGGAGGAGGAGAGGGTGCAGATGAGTGATTCCCATTCCCGGCACGACTCACCCAGCATGACGTGCTCTCCCACCCTTCCCCCTGGGACTCCTGCCTGCCACTGCATGGTCCAGCCCCACTCGCCATACTGCCCTTGCCCGCCCCGCTCACGGCCCTCTCACACACCTGTCCACCCTCGCTCGCATCCACCAGGAGGGCGTGGCATGGGACCGCCACCTCACCCGTGGGTGATCTCCACCCAAAGGCCATGCCACTGGGAGTAGTCGCAGCAGCATCACACCTCCTGACTGCAGCCCTCCATTCTCCCCGTCCCTCCCAGCCACACCCTCTCCATTCTCACTTGATGCCATGCGATCCATGTCCACGCCACACTCATCTACCCGCATGCCATACACCCTTCACCCTCGCCCCTTCAACCCCTCACTCTCGCATTCCCCTTGCACGCCCCCCCTCGCTACCCCCTGTGCCCCACAGGGCATGGCATCGGACGCGTGTCCATGGGAGACGCTACAGCAGCGCGGGCTAGATGCGGACATGGTGGTGGACATAGACGGGGTCACGTGGCCGCTGCACCGCCACGTGCTCCTCCCGCACTGCCCCCTCATCCACTCCCTCCTCCCCGCCGCCACTGCTGCCGCCACCGCCAGTGCGTGTGAGGGCGAGCAGGGCGTGATGCCGCTGGCGCTGGGCACGGGGCTGCCCATCGTGGCGCTCACCGGCTTCCCCGGGGGTCCGCGCTCCTTCTCCATCATCGTCCGCTGGTGCTACGGCTCTCGCCCCAAGCTCTCGCCCAGCCAGGCCGCTGCTGTGCTCTTTGCTGCGCGCTTCCTCGGTGTGTGCCACCCTCTCGGTATCTTGATGATTTTCTATCTAGCATGTATATGTATATATGTGCGCTTCCTATGTATATATATGTATGTATATATATTTTTTATTTCCCTTTCCTTCTTTCTTTCTTTCTTATCAGAAGCCTTCTTCCGCATGCCTCAACCGCTGCGTGAGCCATAGCATCATGGGGCGCACGTTCATGCCTTACTCTCCTTCCGATCCACCCTCCTCTGCCTTCCCTTCCATCCTTGATGGGTGTATGGTACGGGCAGGCATGGAGGACCGCGGCAGTGAGGCGCTGATACCAGTGGCGGTGCGCGCGGTGAAGGGAGGGCTGGCGGAGGGGTGGGAGGCGTGCTTTGACATCTTGGAGCGGTGCTACCACGACCGCGTGCTGGGCGCGCTGGTGGTCGAGTTCAGCCTCAACCGCCACTTCGTTGACTCCGCCGCCAGTCAGTGCTGCCCCTGGGGGCGTTGAAACGTGAAATCATGTGTGGGGATTCCACTGTGGGGCTTAAAGGGAGGATTGGTGCCGGAGTTTCGTGCTGTGCTGGTGACTAGTGTGTGGGCTGCAGTCGTTCTCATCTCCATCTCCTTCTCCCTCCTCCTCTCGCTCTTCTCCTTGGTACTCTTCCCTCCGCCCCTCCGCTCTCTCACACTCTTCCTGTTCCCTTCTCAACCTGCACTGCACCCAGTGCTCCTCCTCCCCCCGTCCATGCTGGCACTTCACCACACACCGCTTTCCATTCCCCCTTGTCTACTTCTCCCATCGCTCATCCCTGCCCTACTTCGCCTGCGACAGGCGCCATATTAAAGCTGGAGTCCCACTCCCCCTTGTCCTCTTGCACCCCTCATCTCACCCGCCACTCCCCCCTCCCTCCATCCGCTCTGTGCCAGGCGCAATTCTGAAGCTGGAGTCGAAGCTGGTGGGGTACGGGCGGTGGGGCAACGACGACTGGGCGACGGTGAATCGTCTCTTAGAGGGTATGAGCAAGCTGCCCCCAGACATCAGCAGGCGCGTGGTGCAGCAGCTCTGGGACCTGCGCCACTCCCACTGGGCCACCGTCTGCCCTGCACCCTGTTCTGAGGCGGGGGAGGAGCACCCGGGCATCAAGGCCATGGCCACGGTGGGGAGCTTCCTGCTGGGTATCACTCTGCTGAGTAAGATGGAGTGGCGGAGGCAGCAGGACGAGGAGGAGGAGGAGAAGAGGAGGAAGAAGGGCGGGCAGGGGTCAGCAGGTACCAGCAGCAGCCCGAGCCACGCAGCCAACTCTCCATCGGCCCAGGCGCTGAGCAGCAGTGTGAGGAGCAGGGCACAGCCACCATACGACAACATCCTGTGGATGCTGCGAGTGCTCAAGCTCTTCATCTCGCCGCCCTTCGATCGCCCCATCCTGCTCGTGCTCAGCAACAACACGCCCCTCCTTGAAACCCACCACCTGCACTTCCTCGACCTCTCCTCCTGCCTCTCCCTCCTCACGCTCGTCTCCGCCGCCCCGCACCAAGACTCCCACCTGGTGGCCACCGCTGATCTCCTCGACGTCTACCTCGCAACGCAAGGCACCAAGCGCAACCCACCGCTCAGCCCCGAGGATTTCCGTGCGCTTGTGACGCGCCTGCCGCCCGAGGCGCGGCCGACGCACGACGGGGTGTTTGAGGCGGTGTGTGCGTTCGCCGAGGCGGACCCGCGGCCCGCCACATGGAACCTGCTGGCCCTCGTGGACTGCGGGCGCCTCACCCCGCGCTGCCTGCGTCTCGCTGCGTCAGCGGCGGCGTCGATGGAGTTTGGGCAGTCGGCTGTGGCGGGCTTCTGGCTGTTCCTCGTCTCGCTCTTGCGTGCTCTCATGTATGAAGGGTAGTGTGTGGATAAATGATGTAATGAATTAGTTGTTGTATTATGTTACCGTATTACCCCGGATATAGGCGCATATGCGCTTATAATAAATTCATTTTTTTGAGGGGGGGCGCTTGTAATTGAGTAACGGCCATAAGCGCCGGCGCTTATATAATGACAAATACGAAATTATATATTTAGATCACCAAATTGTTCATTTTCTTCTTGCCATTTCAACCGAGTCGAAATGCTTTAGCGTCACAAATCAAAATCTCGCGCAAGCGATATTCTGGGTGCACACACAGGCAAAGACACGTCATGCCAGCAGATCCTGACTAGACGTGCAGCCAGTCAGGTCTTCGCGAGTCAAACCAAGCGAAATCGAAATCTGACTCGCTGCAAAAATGAATTTCGTTACCGTTTTAAGCAAGAATTTAAACTAGAATTGCACGTGCGCTTATAATAAGTAAACGTTTTCTAGGGGGGGCGCTTATAATCAAGGAACGGCCATAAGCGCCATGCTCCAGATAGAGGCGCCGGCGCCTTTAATCGGACGGCGCCAATATCCGGGGCCATACGGTATTGTTAGTGCAGTTTCTGGGTTTCAAATTACAAGAGCACATCTGCGAGTGCAAGAGGCTTCACTAGCTGAAGGTCCCCATAGTCAAATAGCAGTAGCACCTTCAATAGCAGTGCAGACTTGTGCACACTGCTGATGACCAAATTTGAAAGCACTCGCATGCTTCACAGCAGCACCAGCAAGCGTCTTGCGCACCACTTCCCAACTTGTACTGTGGAGTTGACAGCACGCGGCGCACGGTTCAGAAACCAGCACGCCCGAGTAGTTGAGAGTTCTCAGAAGTGAGACAAGGGGGAAGGCGGAGGTGAAGGCGGAGGTGAAGGCGGAGGTGAAGGCGAAGGCCACCCGATCGCCGCCATCATCGCCGCCATCATCGCCGCCTCGCGCTGCGCTCACCGCATTCCAACACGTCCAAGGAACGTAGCGCCTAATAGACGTCGCGTAATAGGCCAGGCTGACTTGGCGAGGCGCGCCTTTGCGCGCAGGGTGACAGGTGGTGTGGCCGCGGGATGGCGGGGCGCGGCGACGAGGATGAATGGGACGATGACGTTCCACTGGGGGGCTCTTTCCGCGGTCCCGCCACAACCCCCGCGCCTTCCGCCTCGCGGATCCCTCCCCCGGGGTTCGCCGCAGGCGGAAGAGGCGTTGGCGGAAGAGGGGCTGGCGGAAGGGGGAGCATGGACGGCGCGCGCGGGCAAGTTAGGTTCCGCGGAATGCTTCCCGCTATTCCGCCGAATCCGCTTCAGGGGGAATCGCCGTTCTCCCGTCCGCCCGCTGGTTCCGGCAGCACAGGCCACTCAGGCCAACGCGCCCCCACTGCCCATGCCAGGGCCGGCCATCCTGCCGGCCATGCTGCCAGCCATCCTGATAAAATTAGGGTCGGGGGAATGGACGAGTATAGGGGTGGCCTAGGGGGGTTAAGCGAGTTGGGGGGCGGGGGGGAACGGAGAGGGGAGGGCAGGGTGGGCGGGAGAGGCGTTGACGTGGGGGGAGGCTTGCCGGGTGATTGGGAGGGGGAGCAACAGGAGAGACGTTATAACCCGTTACAGGGGGAGCAACAGGAGAGACGTTTTAACCCGTTACAGGGGGAGCAACAGGAGAGACGTTTTAACCCGTTACAGGGGGAGCAACAGCGGCAGCAAGAGCGAGAGTATTTGGAGGAGGGCGAGGAGGGGGGCGAAGAGGCCGGGGGGGACGAGGGGGGCGAGTCGGAGGAAGAGGATGTTCCGCTCAACCAGCGCAGGGGGGGCGCGCAGCACAGCGCGGATGGGGGCGCGGGGGGGGTGCTGGCGGGCAGAGGCGCAGCAGGGGTAATGGCTGCTCCAGGGGGGGGCGCTGGGCACGGGAGGGGGCGGGGGAGAGGAAGAGGAGGGGGAAGAGGGGGGGGGTGGGGGGAAGGGGAGGCGGGGATAGCTTGGGGAGGGAGGTGGGCGTGCCTGTTGCTCCCCTGAAGCGCAAGTCCAGTGGCCCACTGCCTCCCCCGCCACACCCATCCGTGCGCCAGCAGCAGGGGCTGCAAGAGCACGAGGATGCTTATAACGGGGATGGAGTGCACGGAGATGAGTCTATCACGAGTGAAAGCGCCCCTGGCAGGCACTCTGGCAGCCCGGGGAAGGCGTTGGGGCGAGGGCGGGGGCGGGGCAGGGGCAGGGGGAGAGGCAGGCTTGGGGGAAGAGGATTGGAAGGGGGGGAAGCGGAAGGGGCAGGAAGGGGAGGACAGGCAGGAGATTCTGGGGGAGGTGATGTGTTTGGGGGGAGTGATGTTCTGTCCCCTGGGCGGGGCAGGGGGAGGGGCAGGGGGAGGGGACGTGGAAGGGGAGGAGGAAGAGGAAAGGGAGGGAGCGTTGCAGGGAGAGAGGCAAGTGAGGAGGAGGCAGGGGCGGGCAGTGAGTGGGAGGAGGGCGAGGGGTATGGGCGTGCAGCGGAGGACGTGTATGCGGGCGGCAGGTATGGGGTTGAGCGGTACAGTCAGTCAGCAGCGGCGGAGAGAGAGGCGGTGCCAGGGCGGCTGCGGCTCACTGAGGAGGCGCACTCGCCCTTCCCCCTGCTGCCCCCGCCTCCCACCCCGCCTGCTGCCAGCGCTGCAGCACGGTCGGCAGCAGAGGGTGGCAGGGCAGAGGAAGGCACAGGCGGCGGGCACACCCTGCTGCAGCAGCGGCAGGAAGAGGCGGAGCAGGAGGGGCAGGAGCAGAAGCAGGGCAAGGGGGCATCAGACACGGCTGCGAGTCTGGCTGCTCGGTTTGCTGCAGCCATGAGCGCCGCGGCTGCAGGGGAGGGGTCGCTGGCGGATGAGGCAGCTGCCATTGCTGCTGCTCTGCCTGCTCCAAGAGTGTGGGACCAGATGAGCCTGGACAGAATCTCGACTGTTGATCGCGAGGAGAAGATCCGACGGCTGGAGTCGCAGTGCATGGACGAGTGTGTGCAGCTGTGCCGCGACCTCATCGTGCGCCAACGCCTCTGGCACCAGGTGGGATAGGGGTAGCGCCTCTGGCACCAGGTGGGATAAGGGTAGCGCCTCTGGCACCAGGTGAGGAGGGGATGGGGAGGAAGAGAGGGAGGGCGTGGGATAGGGGTGGGGATGGGTTGGAGGTGTTGCAGTGGAGAATGGTTCCACTCGGCACGATGTGTTGTTGTTGGGAGCGCACTGCTCCTTGCACTGCTGCTGCTCGTCCTGTTGCTTTGACTCTTCGTCTTTCCTCATTCCAATCACCCTCAACAACAATGCATCCATGCTCCCCTCCACACCGCCGTTTCACCGCCTTTCCACTCGCCACCCACCTGTGTCCCCTCTTCCCTCTTCCCCTTGCTCTCTCCCCCTGCCCTCCGCCCTTTGCTTTCTACGCCCGCCCCCTACCCATTGTGCCGTGCGCCCTGTGCGCTGCGCGTGTGCACGCCCCCCCCGGCAGGACATAGTGGATGCAGGCAAGCCGCTGCCGCCCGTCAAGCTCTTCCCCATCGTCCCTCCCCTCGACCTTCTCGGTACGTGCCTTCCCTCCTGCCTGCCGCTGTGCCTGCCTGTGTGGGCTGCTCGCTCGTGCCGCACTCACAAGAAGCCTGGAAAAGGGACGAGCTCTGCCCTCCTTTGCCTCTCCCCTCACCATCACGCCTCTCCCACCACACCCTGCATGTGCCCAACCCCATGTCCTCGCCCTCGCTGCTCCCTCACTCTGCGCTTGCCTTTCCCTGCCTGCACCTCATTCAAGCAGCCTTCCCCCTCCCTCAACCCTCTCCCCTTGTGATCCTCCCCGCACCCCCCTCGCCGTGCCCCCACAGACCCCGTGAGCCCGCCTGCCCTGCCTCACCTCGAATTTGACTCGCTCCTCCCGCTCCTCCCACCCGCCATGCAACCTGCTGCTGCCGGGGCGCCCACTGCTGCTGCTGCTGCTGCTGCTGGGAGGGGAGTGAAGGGGAAGGCGGAGGTGGATGTGGGGGCGGGCAGTGCAGGGGGGCGGGGAGGGCGGGGCAGAGGAGGGCGAGGGAGAGGGCGAGGGGGGAGGGGAATGAAGCCGGCGGGCTGGGATGCTGAACCTTCTGCTGCCGTGTGTGGTGGTGGCGAGTCAGCAGGAGGTGGGGCAGTGTCGGCAGGTTTAAGGTTGAAACAAGAGGCGGGAGGGGCGGAGTGGGAGGAGGATGCACCGTTGGGAAGGCAGCAGCAGCACGCGGGGATGAAGAGGCCTCTGGGGCAGGTGGGGGGCGCGCAGGGGCAGCAGGGCGGAGCTCCTATGGTGGCTCGTCCGAAGCAGATGGTTCGGCGGCTGCTGGTGTGGCGGGCGAATGAGCGCGAGGCGTTGAGGAAGGCCCTTCTCGCGTTTGGGCTGACCCGACCGTCCATGGTGAGCACGGGGGGCGGGGGGGGGACTACCAAGGGAGTAGGGGCTCGCCAGAGTAACTGCTGGGGAGCAGCTACAAGTCTGCAGGTGCGCGTGGGGGCTGGAGGGTGCGGTGGCTGGTTGGGGCGAGGCGCTGCGAAAGGCTGTGCTCGCATTTGGGCTCACCCTGCCCTCCATGGTGAGAGAGAGTGGTGAGGGGGTACCAAGGGAGTGGGTTGTTGTGGGTGCAGTGAGTGGTTGGTCCCAGTCACCGCACTGAGTGGTTGGTCCCTGTCACCGCACTGAGTGGTTGGTCCCAGTCACCGCAGTGAGTGGTTGGTCCCTGTCACCGCACTGAGTGGTTGGTCCCAGTCACCGCAGTGAGTGGTTGGTCCCAGTCACCGCAGTGAGTGGTTGGTCCCAGTCACCGCACTGAGTGGTTGGTCCCTGTCACCGCACTGAGTGGTTGGTCCCAGTCACCGCAGTGAGTGGTTGGTCCCAGTCACCGGACTGAGTGGTTGGTCCCAGTCACCGCACTGAGTGGTTGGTCCCAGTCACCGCAGTGAGTGGTTGGTCCCAGTCACCGCACTGAGTGGTTGGTCCCAGTCACCGCACTGAGTGGTTGGTCCCAGTCACCGCAGTGAGTGGCTGGTCCCTGTCACCGCACTGAGTGGTTGGTCCCAGTCACCGCAGTGAGTGGTTGGTCCCAGTCACCGCACTGAGTGGTTGGTCCCAGTCACCGCACTGAGTGGTTGGTCCCAGTCACCGCAGTGAGTGGTTGGTCCCAGTCACCGCACTGAGTGGCTGGTCCCAGTCACCGCACTGAGTGGTTGGTCCCAGTCACCGCAGTGAGTGGTTGGTCCCTGTCACCGCACTGAGTGGTTGGTCCCAGTCACCTCAGTGAGTGGTTGGTCCCAGTCACCGCAGTGAGTGGTTGGTCCCAGTCACCGCAGTGAGTGGTTGGTCCCAGTCACCGCACTGAGTGGTTGGTCCCAGTCACCGCAGTGAGTGGCTGGTCCCTGTCACCGCACTGAGTGGTTGGTCCCAGTCACCGCAGTGAGTGGTTGGTCCCAGTCACCACACTGAGTGGTTGGTCCCAGTCACCGCACTGAGTGGTTGGTCCCAGTCACCGCAGTGAGTGGCTGGTCCCTGTCACCGCACTGAGTGGTTGGTCCCAGTCACCGCAGTGAGTGGTTGGTCCCAGTCACCGCACTGAGTGGTTGGTCCCAGTCACCGCACTGAGTGGTTGGTCCCAGTCACCGCAGTGAGTGGTTGGTCCCAGTCACCGCACTGAGTGGTTGGTCCCAGTCACCGCACTGAGTGGTTGGTCCCAGTCACTGCACTGAGTGGTTGGTCCCAGTCACCGCAGTGAGTGGTTGGTCCCTGTCACCGCACTGAGTGGTTGGTCCCAGTCACCGCAGTGAGTGGTTGGTCCCAGTCACTGCACTGCCCCGCCCTTTCGCCACCGCTCTTGCTGCAACACCCTTCGCCTCCACCCTCTCCTCTCTGCTCTCTGTCATACGCCCTGTGCGCCTGGTGCCCTCCCCCCAGCTGTGCCGCAGCACTCCGCTCCACTCCACGCCCCGTCCCTCCCTCCCTCCCCACATACCCCCCCCCCGCCTCCCCCTGCCCTCCCCTTGTTTGTGCGCGGTGCGCGGGCAGGTGCAGAGCAGCATGCGGGCGAGCATGAGGAGTGAGCGCCACGGGGCAGGGGACGTGGTGGACGCCACGTGTCACTTCCTGCGCGCCTGCTCGCTGCTGCAGCCCCCCCACGCCCTCGACCCGCGCGACCTCGCCTGGGCGCAGCGCCGCCTCTCTGTCCTCGCCTCCCTCGCTAACATCCCCCTCGGCTCCCCGGGGGACAGTGGCGATGGGGAGGGGGGTGATGGCGAGGGAGAGGGAGGGGGAGGGGGAGGCGAAGGGGATGGGATAGCTCAGCGGGTGGGGTGGTGGGAGCGGCTGCCAGTAGCGAGCTGTGCGCGCACGTGGCTGCGCCGCCTGCGCCTGCTGGAGCAGCTCGTATGTGTGTGGGGGGGAGAGGGGTGTGTGGGGCGGGTGGTATCTGGGGCTAGTGACTTGGTTCTATAATCACTCTAATGTCTCAACCCCCACCTCCCTCCCTCCACCTCTCTTCCGCCCGCGTCTCTCGCCCATCTCCTCTCTCTCCCTTCCTCTCTCCCGCTCAGCATCAACTGTCTTTACACCTGACAAGCCACCCCCTTTTCTTCCTGACCCCCTGACCTGTGTCCCTCCATTCTTCTCCCTGCGGGCCCCAGCACGAGGTGCTGGGCTGCATGGCGCGCACCACGGGCTTCGCCCTCGCATGCCACCACGTGGCGGCGCTCACCGACGCCACGCTGCCCGCCCATTGGTGGACGCGCGACGCTGACCTGGCGCTGCTGCTGGGCGTGGCGGTGCACGGGTACGGGGCGTACGAGGCCGTGTATGGCGATGCCGACCTGGGGCCGTACCTCCGGAAGCCCGCGCGGGACAGGGGGGAGAACGGGGAGAACGGGGAGAAGGGGGAGAAAGGGGAGCAGGAGGGGGGGGCTGGCGAGGAGGAGGGGTGGTTGGACGCGTACACGTTGACGCGGCGGTTGAAGCGCCTCATTGAGCACCTCGTGCGCATCAAGCGATCCGTGTGCCCCAACCCCTGCTCCCTGCTCTCTGCTCTCTGCTCTCTGCTCTCTGCTCTCTGCTCTCTGCTCCCTGCTCTCTGCTCTCTGCTCTCTGCTCCCTGCTCTCTGCTCCCTGCTCTCTGCTCCCTGCTCTCTGCTCCTCCCCGTATTGCCTGCTCTCCGTCCTCTCTCTGCCTCGCCACCTCTTTGCCTCGCTACCTGATGGCACTCCAAGTGTCTGTGCTGTGGCACCATGCTACACGTTTACATGCACATACAACGTTTCGGAGCAGTTTACAGGTGCATTAGTGAGGCCAAGAAATGAGGGATGTGGCCACTCACATAGCGATGGAGTCACTCCCTTCTCTCCCCCTCTCTCTCCCCTCCTCTCTCCCCTCCTATCTCCCCTCCTCTATCCCCTCCTCTCTCCCCTCCTCTCTCCCCTCCTGTCTCCCCTTCTATCTCCCCTCCTATCTCCCCTCCTCTATCCCCTCCTCTCTCACCTCCTCTCTCCCCTCCTGTCTCCCCTCCTATCTCCCCTCCTATCTCCCCTCCTCTATCCCCTCCTCTCTCCCTTCCTCTCTCCCCTCCTATCTCCCCTCCTGTCCCCTCTCCTCTTTCCCCTCCTCTCTGTTAGAATGCCAGTGTTCTGTGTCCTGCATGTATCCTTTATCGCTTGGGTAGAGGTAGGCACCCAAGTCTAGTGTGAGTGCATCCTTAGCTTGAGGTTGGAGAATATTGGAGATCCAATAATCTTGGGAATGATGTTGGACAAGAACCCAACAACCCCCCCGTCTCATCCAGCTATGTATTCCCTCGCCTGTTTTAATGGAATAAAAGTGCTGGTTCTTCACGTTTTCTCACACTCTCTCCCCTCCTTTCCCCGCTCTTCTCCCTCCTCCTATCCCTCTTCCTCTACCGCCTTCTCTTCCGCCTCCTCTCCCCCCTCCTTTCCCCTCTCCTCTCCCCACTCCTATCCCCCCCTTCCCCCCCACAGCTGGCCAAGAAGCCTCAGCCTCCTCCCACTCTTACGGGTCCTCCCCCCGCCTTCACCCCCGCGCACTTCAAGCGCGCCCTCCCTCCCGCCTCCGATGCCTGGGCTGCCCCTGGCGCTGCTGCTGCCGCCGCTGCCGCCGCTGCTGCTGCCCCCGCTGCTGCTTCCGTTGCTGCTGGTGGTGGTGGCGGGAGGGGTGGGGACATCGGGGGAAGAGGGGGCGTTGGGGGGAGAGGGAGGGGAGGCAGGGGAAGGGGAGTGGGAAGAGGGGGGAGAGGAGGACGGGGGTTAGCTGATGGGGGAGGAGCAGGAGGAAGGGGAGGGAGAGGAAGAGTGGGGAACACAGGAGGGGCTTATGAGGAGTACGGGGGGGAGGAGGAGGAGGAGCAGTGGGGAGGGCGGGGGGAGCATGGGGAGTACGGGGAAGAGTATGGGGAGGAGGGGGATGAGGGCGTGGGGGAGGAGGAGTGGAACGAGGATGCCCCTGTGGGTCGAGGTGGGGGGCGAGGGGAGGGCGGACTAGGCGGTGTGGAGAGAGGGGGAGGGGCGAGGGGGCGGGGCAGGGGGCGAGGCAGAGGACGGGGGGGAGGGAGGGGCGGGGCAGCAGGCGGAGGAGAGACTGGTGCCGCTGACCCGAGTGGTAGGGGGGGGCGGGGGAGGGGGAGAGGAGGGCGGGGGCGTGGGGGCACAAGGGGGGCCGGACGAGGTGCAGGAGCGGTGGAGATGGGTGGTGGCGCAGGGGAGAGGGAGGGGAGGGGCGCAAAGGGAGGGGGCAGGGAGGGGGAGGAGATGGAGTGGGAGGTGCAGGCGGAGGAGGGGGGGGAGGAAGCGGAGGCCGTGCAGGGTGGCCGTTCGCATGCACACAGGGCAGGGGGGGCGCATGGGGAAGGGGCAGGAGCGGCGCAGAAAGGGGTGGAGACGGTGTGGAGCCGCAAGGAGAAGCTGGAGCTGCTGCGCCTGCTCATGCTGTGGGGGCTGCCCGCTGTGAGTCCTGGCTTGTTTGATTTGAGGGTGCGTTCACGCCTGTGCTTGTACGAGTGCGTGAACATCAACATGGTGTGCCGCACTGCGACAACACACGGTAATGCTGTGCGCGCACACTGCAGTTGTCTTGTTTACAACTGAGCACGCTCACCCCACCAGGTCTTACCCGTCCCGTTCTTCCCCTCGCGGCCCTCGGGGGCAGCAGCATGGCGGCAGCAGCACGAGGCATGTGAGGTGGCAGCATCTGATGGAGTGGTTGTGTTGTGATGGATGGATCGTGGGAGGGAGTGGCAGCAGCACGAGCCTATCATGTGCTTCAACCTGCTGTGGCCATGCTCAACCCAACCATCCCGTCCCGTGCTTCCCCTCGCACCCACAGGAGCAGCAGCAGGGCGGCAACAGCAGCGGCGGCAGCAGTGTGAGCTGGAAGCAGCTGCGGGACCACTCGCACCTGCCGTCCGTGCTCGCCAGGTCAGCAGCCTCCGTGGCGGCGTGCTTCGACGACGTCATCGCTGAGATGCAGCGCCGCCTGCAGGGCCTCCCCGCCTCCTCGCCCGCCTCTGCTGCTTCCAATGCTGGTTTGGCTGCTGCTGCAGCAGGCGAGGAAGGAGAGGAAGGAGGGGACGGAGGGGAAGGGGATGTAAGGGAGGCAGGTGGTAGTGGCGTCTCGGGGAAGAGGACGTTTGCGCTGGGAGAAGGCCACCCTGCCTCCTGCCCGGTAATGTGGTGTGACAAATTCCATGTGGTGTGGCAAATGCCATGTGGTGTGACAAATGCCATGTGGTGTGGCAAATGCCATGTGGTGTGGCAAATGCCATGTGGTGTGGCAAATGCCATGTGGTGTGGCAAATGCCATGTGGCATGAGATCGGCCATGTTTGAATCCCTCTGTGCCCCTCGTATGGCCTTTCACTCTTGCTTCTTCCTTCCTCTCTGCCTCTCTGTCTCGTCCCTACTGCCCGTCGCAGTGTCTGCTGTGTGGAGAGAGGGAGGCCTCAGATGCGAGGAGGCAGCGCAGGGGGCAACCAGGAGTGGGGGAAGAAGGGGGACCGGAGGGGGATGGGGAGAGCGTGCTGCTGACCCCAGAAGACTCGGTGCTCAATGCCAAGACAGCGGTGAGTTGATGCCAAGACTGCATAAGACGTGACATTTGTCTTCTATTCCGTTATATTTTTCTCCCGTTCCCATCTCCTTCTGCTCCACTCCTCCAGCCCTTTTACCTTTGTCCATTCCCCCTGTGCTGGTCCGCCCCTCCATCCCCAACCGTGGCACTGCATGTCCGCCCGCGCCACCAGGAGCGGCTGCTAGAGCGGTTGGAGGCGGTGGAGGTGCTGCGCAGGGCGGTGGCGGTGTTTGGTGGGGACTGGTTCCGGCTGGGCCTGTCCACGTACAAGTCGCACGACCTGCCCGCCTGGTGGCGTGCTGGCATCCACGACAAGGGGCTCGTCAAGGTGTGTGTGTGGCAGCTTGCTATGCATGAATTAGATGCGTGGCCCCATACCGGCTGCTGCCCATCTCGGTATCTTCACCGCGCTGCCTCCTCCTTCGTGGCCATCATGCATGCTGGCCTCCACCCCCCCAGCTTTCATCTCCCTGCCCCCACTCCCCTCCCCCGTCACTCCCTCTTCCCCCCCTTAGGGCATATTTGCGCACGGGTACGGGTCATGGGCGGCCATCATGAAGGACGCGGAGCTGCCCTTTGCGGCGCTCATAGCGCCCAGCAAGGCCGGCAAGGGCAAGCCCCCCCGCAAGGGCGCGGCAGAGGCGGACGGCAGTGGCGCCGGCGAGGGTGGGCGAGGGGGCAGCGAGCACGAGGACGAGGACGGGGTGGGCGGGGGGGCGGCAGGGGAGGGGGCACCGAAGGCGAAGGTGGTGGTGCGGAGGGTGAAGTATCTGGAGAAGATGCTGAAGCGCCAGCTCATCAAGCGCGACAGCTCCGGGCCCCGTAAGCGCATGTCCGCTGCTGCCAAGGCTGCTGCCGCCGCCGCCGCCGCTGCAGCTGCTGCTGGTTCTGCTGCTCCCTGCGTTGATGCCAAGCCTGCTGCTGGCACTGTCAGTAGCGTCGGTGCTGCTGCTGCTGCTGATGTGGATGCAGGGCAGCAGCTTGTGCATGGACACATGGCGTCCGCTGGTTGGCTGGCAGGTGATCCACACAGGGCCGGAGGTGGGGGGGATGTGGGAGGAAGCGGGGGAGGATTGAGCCTGGAGTTCACATTGGAGCGGGGCGCGGGTGGTCGAGTGGGTGGGGGGGGAGCACGAGGTGTTCATCCTGCTGCTTCTGCTGACGCTCGTGCTGCTTTGGCTGGTATTTCCGCCAAAATTGTGGGTGGAGGTCTGGGTTTGAGTATGGGAGGAGGTATGGGTGGGCTCGACTTGAACATGGATCTGTGCTCATGAAGAAGGGCAGCAGTAGGCAAGGTCGCCTTTAGCAAAGGAATGATAGTCAACCAGTGAAAAAAGTAACCCTCGAAAAAATTGATTAAGATCCGAACGTACAACTCAGTTCAAACTCTAGACGAAAGCACAATATGGGTGGAGGTATGGGTGGGCTCGACTTGAACATGGACTTGGATGAGGAAATGGAGGACTAGATGGTGTCTTGTGCCTTGTGTTGGTTCTCCTGGGGTGCTGGGCTGTAATGAAGTGCAGTTGAGGCTCATGTTCAGGGGCTGTTCCAGCAAACGACCAAAAAATATGTATCAGGGGGCTAGATGAGAACAAACTCACGCCGAGGTACAGCAGCAGCAATGTGCGGAGATTGGACAGATCACCTGTCTCCTCAGAAATCGATGTCAACCTTGAATGCATGATGCTCAAAGATTCAAGAGCAGCCAAGCAGGAAATTGCTGCAGGGAGGGTGTACATGCTCATACATTCCATAGACAGGCAAGTCGAGATGAGATACCATATCACCCCGGATAGTAGCACATATGCGCTTATAATAAAATCGGATTTTTTTAAGGGGGGTGCTTCTAATTGAATTTAGGGTATAAGTGCACGCGCCAGTACTAATAGGATAAAGTTGGAAATTGTTTAAAGCAGCAGTATACATTTGGCAGGGCCTGTGCCAAAAGTTTATAAATGGTACTTTCGCTGTGGCAAAATCGTTTTGGGAACCCTAAACCCTCCAACGTGTTGGGCTGAGAAAAGCCCTTAGGATCTTTGCAGGACTAAATTCAGGGTAGGACAATGTAATAGTGGAAGCGTTTAATAAAAGGCTTGTGAACCACCTTGCGCTGGTATGTGAGGGCAAAGTTTTTTTTGATTAAAACAAAGAGATACAAGCTTTTATAAGGATACAAGGAATATGAAGAGATACGGTTAATAACCGTTTTACTGTTGCTGTTGCGGTTCGATACAGTGTCGACTCGGGCAACTCCTCAATAGCGAGTCAGATGTTTGTCCTTGCTGTCGCGCTGTATTTGTCAGGTCAAAGGTCGCTGACCTTTGACTTTCGCGTAACCTCCAGCAGTTGTTCAACCTCCGAGGGTTGACTCGCTGATGCTTCGATATGTTTCGCTTCGCTTCTGACTTGGTGTTTCGACACGACAGAGGCGTTTAAATCAATTGTTTCCAACACTCCCTTCGCTTCTGGAGTGTCCCTGCTGATGACGTGGCTTTGTCCAGTCAGCAGCATGCAATATTCGAACTTCGACTTTCCGAGCTTCTTGGTCAAGTAATTGTCAGAATCCCAACCACTAGACCATTGGGATAAAAGGGCTTGTTAAGTAGCAGGTCAGTGCGCCCATAACCCCCCAGGACAACGAGCCTGTAACCCTTCCCTAGGATCAATCGGGGATCACCAGTGGACCTCTGACAGTAATCAGCTGCCATCTCGGATGTGGGGCAGTAAGACAACTCAAGTCTCCCCTTCTCGATCTCGTCCTTTACGAAGAAATATCGCAGGGCGATATGCTTCGTCCTGTTCGCGAATCCGTTTTTGTTGGCTATGCGAATTGCCGACTGGTTGTCGCAGAACAAGGAGAACCTGGGTAACTGAGCCAGCTTCGCCTCCTCCAGAAGTTCGCGAAGGTACAGTCCTTCCTTGGTGGCTGAGCAGAGTGCGATATATTCAGCTTCAGCTGAGGAGAGAGCGATTAGTTCCTGCTTGCTCGATTGCCAGGAAATAGGTCCGATAGGCTCGAGGCGGTAGATGTAGCCTGTACGCGAGCGCCTGTTGTCAGAATCTCAGGCGTGGTCGGCGTCGACGTAGCCGATTAACTTGGGCGTTGAAGTTCTGTTCTTGTAGTAGATCATGCCGATCGTTGGAGTACTAACGAGGTAGTGAAGAGCGCGGTCGAGTTCCGTCATGTGTTCAGCTTCAGGCCTTTTGAGGTAGGTGGCGAGTCGACTTGCGGAGTATGATAGGTCGGGCGGCAGGTAACAGCCGCAAAGAGAAGGCATCCCAGCTTCCTCTGGTAGTCGCGTATCGTGGCGGGCTTTAGTGGAGCAGATTCTGCCTTGTTATTTCCTGCCGTGTAGCGGTATGGCGTGGAGATGGTAGTTGGTGTGAGTGCGAAGCGTTTGGCGATGTTGTCGGCATATTTTGCGGTGTTGAGGTAGATCGCGCTTTCTCCTTCCTGGATATTGAGGCCGAGGTACTGCGTGACGGTAGATGAGACTGTGAGCGTGAGGTCTTTCTGTAACTCCCCTTCGAACCAGGTAGTGACGTTGTCGGTTGACCCGATGTAGAGTAGATCGTCTACGTAGACGATTAGTAGAATATAGTCGTCGCCTTTCGTGAGCCGGTACATGCCTTGGTCGTGCGGTAGCTGCCGGAATCCGATGCGAGTAAGTCGAGCGTGTAGGTACTGCTGCCACAGTCTCGGGGCCTGTTTGATCCCGTATAGGGATTTTTGCAGCTGACAGACTTGGTTGGGCTCTCCGTGGGAACCGTGTGGGAGTTCGACGTAGATTTCGGCGTCAACAGGTGCATAAAGGAATGCATTGGCGACGTCGATTTGCCGCAGTTTCTTTTTCTTCATGGCAGCGATCGCGAGAAGAATTCGTAGTGAAGTGTGTCGGCTGACCGGAGCGAATGTCTCGGTGAAGTCACGTCCATGCTCTTGGTCGAAGCCGCGTACGACCCAGCGTGCCTTGAACTTGTCAATGGTGCCGTCTGCTTTCGTCTTCACACGGAAGACCCACTTCCCGGTGAGTATTGTCTTGTTTCGTGCCACGCCGATAGGGACAACTTTCCAGGTGTTGCGCTCCTTCAGTGCTTTCAGTTCCTTGTCCATGGCTTCACGCCATTTTTCCCTATGCTCCCCCCCCAGAGCCTGCTGAACTGTGGCAGGCTCCTTAGGAGTTTCCGTGCCGTGGACCGCGGTGAATAGGCCGAGTATCTGGAGGCCACTCTGTGTGTAGCGGGGGAGAGTTGTGTCCGCGGGATAAGCTGCTTCGTCACCTGTTTCTGGGTCAGGTATGAAGTTGGGCCCTATGCATTGCGCTTCGTTGGTGTTGACTTCTGCAGGTGTAACGTAACCGGTGTCGGCGAAGTCGAAATAAGTTTCGGCGTTGACGCTTTCGCGAGGATTTTCGTCGTCCATCGGGATAGGCACGGAGCAGTATGGGAGTGTTCCTGCTTCTTCCGAGGCGTTATCCACGTTCTGCTCGTCCCAGTCAGCTTCGTCTGCTGTCGAGGCGAAGGCTCGATCACCACGGAAGCCACTTGTGGGGTCCCTGTCTTCTTCCAGGTTGGCAAGATATGTCGGAAGGGTGAGTCGTTCGTAGAAAATGACATCACGTGCTGCCACTGTTTCTTTGGAGTGGACGTCGAAAATCTTCCACGCGTTGTAATTTCTTTCGATGCCCAGGTGTAGTCCCCACTGAGCGCGTTGGGAAAATCGGCCGGCTCGTGCAGATGGGGGTCGGTACTGTACCATGCAGCCGAAAACTCTTAACATTTTTGTGCTGCCCTGTTTTCCTGTCCACAGCAGGTGCGGTGATGCGTTGTTCGGTAGTGACGATGACGAAAGCAAGTTGTGCAGCATGACAGCGTGGTCCATCGCTTCAGGCCATTGGTGATTGGGCAGTCGCATGCCACGCAGTAATTTGCGCATGGTGTTTTGGAGAGTTCGATTCATCCGTTCTGCCACGCCTTGCTGCTGATGGGCGTAGGGAAGCGAGATGAGCCTCTTGATTCCTCTTTCTGCCAAGTACTGCTTGAACCTCTGTGAGGTGTATACTCCTCCTCCGTCTGACTGAAAGCTTCTTAGTTTCACGCCCGATTCTCGTTCTGCTACTGGGAGCCAAGCGACGAAGGCCTCGAAAGCCATGTCCTTGCTCGGAAGGTTAAGGTGCCAAACGTAACGCGTAGCGGCATCGATGAACATGATGGTGTAGCTGTATGCTCCTTGTCCAGGTTCGCGATTGTACAGGATGTCGCTGTACACTTTCTCAAGTGGTGCGTAAGCTGGTGCGCTAGGGTTGTGGTGAGAAGCGAATGGTCGATGCGGTAAGTCTGCTTCGGGGCAGGTAAAGCACGTTCCACGGGCTCGTCGAAGTTCGCTTCCATCGGTTAGGAGCAGTGAATCTTTGTCGAGTACTCCTGCTCTGATTGTGTTGTTTAACACCGTGTTACTTGGATGTCCCATTCGTGCATGCCAGATGTCTTCGCCAGCTCGATGTCCGGGTGAGCGACGGTACAAGTCGGAGTTGGAGTAGAAGCTTGCGGTGAAGTTTGCACTTCGATGTACTTCTCGTGATGTTGGGTTAAGCTGCTGCGCAAGAGTCGGTGGAGTGCCGTCGATTTGAACTGGTGCAGTTGAAGGACCAGAGATTGGTGTCGATGGTGCTGCTGCTGCAGCCGTTGTTTCTACTGCTGCCGATGTTATCTCTGCTGCTGCCGATGTTGTCTTTTTTGCTGCCGAGTGTTGAATTGTTGCTAATGCTCTTGTTCGTTCTGCCTCAGGGATGGTGTGCGAGTACCAGAAGCCTTCTGGACTGAAGTCAGGGTCGAGATCCGGTGAATGTGTCCAGGAGGTGAAAGTGACGATCCCGTCGCTGTCAGCGGTGCCAAGGTCTGGGACGAAGTCGAGGACGAATACGTTATTTTTCAAGACGGCTTTCCCGATGTAGTGACCGCCTTTCCCGTGGTATAACTTGAATTCTTGAGTGGTGCTATCTGCTTCAAGGTGTATGCCCTTCGCCATCAGTTGACTGACACTGAGTAGGTTGTAACCGAGTCCTTCTACTATTAAAACCTTTGACATATGCAGTATGACGTTTGTTTCTTGTGACTGAAGTTGCACTACGCCTTGTCGTCGTGTGCGCAGGTTCTGATTGTTGGCGACGGTGATGACGACCTCGCGTTGAAGTGTGAAGAAACAAAGGAAATGAATGAACTAGAAAGCAGAAGGGTACAAGTAGGAAACACAAAAGTGTTGTACCCTCTA